GTTTCATGCTAGCACACATACACATAGCTCAACAGCGTGAACTACTGACTGTGTAACACGGACACTTATTGAAATAAGTATACAGCAGGGATAACAAGTTTTTGGCTTTTGGCAGAAAGTTCAAATGCATGGAGTTAGAACTGACACCGTCAACTTCCCGGGCAAGAATGCAATGCGTTATGGGAAATGTTGTCCCCCACGGAAAACCGCCAAAACATTACACCATTGTAATTTGAAGTAACATTAGGTATTTGTCACATTCGATAACTTCTAAAGTTACAATTACTTGGATTCGAATTTATTTATAACAAACATTCACTATGCACAAAGTACGAATATATTTCCAGTTAAAAATAAAAAAAAGACTGTTGATCGAAATAAATTTAAACAAAAAAAAACAAAACGTTAGATTTACCAAATTCAGGGCTGCTGCTGAAAAAATGAAGGTGGTGGTCATGGTGGTTTGAAGTTGGGGACCCTTAATCCACATGGGCTGGCCAAATCTTCCCCGCATCAAGGTAAATTCAAGATGGCTGACTCAGCTTTCCTGAGGGAGCGACAAGACTCCACCCACCAGAACATCACTAATACGTGCTTCTTAAACTTTTTGAGCGTTCTGAACAGCTAAAAAATATTGAGCCCTATTCAGTTAAAGTTGCATAAAGGCCAACAGAGCTGAATACTTTATAGTTTGCTCAACTACAAAACGACATTTGAGTGTTATGAGCTTATTAGTTATGAGCTAAAACAACTGTTAGGGATTACAGTGTGAGTAAATCTAATAAGCATTATCATCTTAAATTTATATTGATGCCTGCTACCCTTGGTATAACCAAACTCTCTGCACCAGTCCAACAGTGCATCACTGTAAACTTCACCACAGCAATGAAAAGTAACCAGTGTAGCTTGCACTAAATTGCCCAGTATTTTCATGTTATCTTTGAATGATATACTTAAAGTTGTTTTGCAGAATATTTCACAGTATGAAAATAAAAACTAATTTCATCAACACATCAGGTATAAAGCTGATATCGAAAGCTTATGAAACTGAGGACATTACCTTTATGCTTTAAATTCTGAGTCTATCAAATGTCACTGAGCAGCACCTGCATTTAAAAACAATCTCTCCTCCTCCTCTCCTCTTTCCTCATCGTTGAGTAAACTTCGCTCTCATTCTTTTCTCACCCTGGGAAATACAGCAGCGATCATTCACACTGTCTGACAAACTGCACAGACTGTTGTGTTTGCTGACATTTGTTGAGCTAAAAGATGCATTTAAAATGACTTGCCACTTAAAAAAATATTACTCCCTTTGTGCTCACTTCTCTTCTGCAGCGCTATTTCATCTCGTCATGTGTCATAAGAACCGATGTGGGATACACCAATAGGATTCTCTTTTATATGTTACTGTTTCTCCATTTACAGTGAAATCAGTTTTATGTCTGGAAGGTGAGTGAGGTCAAATAGCTCCCGTTTGAATAAACCTAAAGTAACAAGTGTTTAAATACTCAAATAAAGCACAGGTATCCAAAAACTCTATGTAAGTACAGTAACAACATATTACTTTTCCCACATCTGAAAATATTCAATATATTTCTGTTCTGTTATGAGTTTTGAAAGGTGCTTGTCCAGCGGTGTGTGCCAGTAAAAGTAATAAAATTACTTTTCTCTTCATTTATGGAACATACTGTATGTACAGTTATATTTGGTTCTTTTAAAGAGTGTCAACAGATAAATGCGGTTTGCTTGAATAATATCTCAGATAAAATTCACTTTTCAATCAGTTATTTGATCCAACTAATTTAATAATTTAATTTTCTTTTATGGAAAAGGTACGTTTATTCTTGGCACCAGAAGCTGTTTGCAAAAACTAGCTTTTGTAGCATGTTTGTTTTGACTATTTTTCAATGCATAATTCCCATGGTTTCAGGGTTTTTTGGAGGGGACTGTCTTTCATGTGCTGCCTGTTTCAAATCCATCACCTTACACTTTCCTGCAGATGGCCTCTAATCATCTTCTTCTCTTCACTCTTTGATATGATGCAAAATTCATAGTCGTCTCAGAGATCGCAAACACACCAGCCCCTCAGGCACTGAAGCAAAAACAAACCAGAACATTTCTACCATTATAAAAAGATGTCAAGGCATTGAGTCACATAATTGTATGTTCAAAGACATGTTCACCAAATGTTTTCTTTTTCTTTGCACTCTTTCCATAGAGGTCAAATTTAACCAGTCTATTCCTGATGACATACAGATTTAAGAATTACCTGATGGATGATTTTGGGATGCTCAGAATCTTCTTATGGATGCTCTTGATTTGAATTTGAATAAACTGCTTTAATAATAAGCAGAAGCCCACTTTTTTTCTTAAGTTTTTAGCCTGGTTAAAAGATCAGATAGAGATTTTTAGATCTTGGTATGATGACATCACCAGAACAGTAGGCCCTGGATGTCAGAGGTTAAAAAAGATGGGCTCCACTGCCTACATAACAAAAGGCACTAGATAATAATGTGAAATAGGTTTATCATAGGAGAAATTCAGAGTTACAGCTAGTTGAGTTAAGCTAGTTGGTTTACACCTTAACTGCTTTGGTTACTGTCAAAGGTTTCATGGAGTCATTTATCCACATTATGACAGCTTTAAGCAACTACAGAAAGCCCGATAGAGACTAAAAACAGAGCTTAGAAGCAAAAAGATGTTTGATTTGCATTCTTTAGTTGGTCTTAACACAACACACAATAAATGTCCGTGCAAATAACTGTTTTCTAGCTACTTCGCCATATCAGTTCAAAAGGAGGTTTCCCAACTCTTGATGCTGTCCCCAAGTGGTTGAAAATAGTAGTTATTTCATCAGTCGCCACTCTAGTCACCAAGTATATAACTAATAGAGAACAAGTGCATTTGGTTCCTCCCCTTTACCTCTCACTGCTCTCAGCCATGCTTCTAGAACAATTCTTGGATCTACGCATTGTTTTAATCTTTCATTCTGTGTGCACCAGGCCTGGGCGGAGCATGTGGTTACCTGGTGGGAGCTATGGACTGGGGTCACTCTGCGTTGGGCCGTCTCCTTGGATCTGAGTACCAGGTCATCTATTTCTTCTCAGCGCTGACCTGGGGCATCTTCCTCACTGTGCACCTCTTCAGTATTCCAGAGCAACCTCTGGGCAAGGCACCATCTCCGTCTGATTCACCATCCAGCCCTCTTCGCCTACTGAGCTCTCATAGCAATAGTTATGGAGCACTTAAGGAGCCTGTCTCTCCTGTAGTCTCCGCATCTGTCACAGATCTCAGGCCCAGATCTTTCTCAGCCCTGGGAGAAGCCAATTCAATGACCTCAAGTGTCAAACAGCTAAACAAAGAGGTATGTAACATAAAGTCTTTCAGGGAGTTTAGTGCATTACCATAAGTGAATTACACAATACAGAGAGCCAATAAAACTAGTCAAACCCTGAAGTTGCCACAGACTATATTGAGATTCAAATGGTTAGTCAAGGTACACCTGGCAGAGGAAACTATGGAAATAACACACCGAGTCTTATAGGAGTTTGAATACTTTCTCTACAGTAGTAAATGCTGATGTGAGATGCAGTATTCAGGGAGTTTCAAGACTATTGATACACCTGCCAGTTCATCTTACTATTCCTGCTTTGCTGAATGCTTTGCAGAATATCTTAGTATTTGTCCCCCCCCCCCCCCCCCTTTTTTTTTTTTTTTTTTTTTTGCTTTATTGACACCAGTCATGCAGCCGGCATGAACTCTCCAAGTTTGTATAAATCCTGAAAAACTATGGTATCCCAGCAGGATCTAAGAGGGTTCCACAGAGTATCTCAAAGGCCGCTGAGATGCAGAAATGCCTTGATATCAGAATCTTTCAAGAACCCCTATAATTATAGCGTGAGGCTGGGGTCAGCGAGTGTTCAGGAAAGACCAATAGAACACATCTACCTGAGTGTCATCTCAACAACTGCTTCAGTGCAGACAATACTACTTCCAACTTTATAACTTCCTGCATTAAAAGTATATACAAACTTTCCAAAGATTTTCTAGACTTATATATTTGACTGATGTGATCTCAGTCTTTTACATTTCAGAGGGATTGATGTGATCACCTTCCTCAAAATCACCTTTACAGTTTTCATTTAAGTGTGTTTGATGAATTATCTCTACGATGTCGACCTTTTGCCTGAATATTCCTCCTCCTTCTTTTGTAGATTCAGCTTTCTATTGATGCTTCACATTTGTTTATTTTTTGCCTGTTATGTTAGAAAGGTTTAAGAAAAAAAGATGCTAAAAGAATTGCTCTGTATATATCTGCTACACTAGAAAATTAATAAGGGATGATTGTTCCAAAGAGCGTATTTGTTTTTTTCTTTTTCAAGTCTTCCTTTTGCTTTAATCATCTCCTATCGTTAATCCTAAAGCCAATTTCTTAGTAGTAGACCTTTATGCTGAATCCCTTCATTCAATCTAATTACAGCCTTTTATGGGGCATGCATGTTTTTTTAATTGTAGAGTCTTTTGAAGTGTTGTCACTCATGGGCTAAAAACACCAATAGCTGTGAAATACCAGCAGACTAATGAGCACTTTGAGATGTTTTTTTCCTCCTGTCAGTTTTTTTAGCTGCTGGCACTGATGCCTGTGATGTTTTTGTGTATTTGCAGGACCAGAAGAAGATAACGTTCAGGTTGCTGATAAAAGCTATTGTCAATATGCCAAGTCACTACCGCTACCTGTGTGTCAGCCACCTGCTGGGATGGACAGCGTTCCTCTGCAATATGCTTTTCTTTACCGATTTCATGGGACAGGTATTGATTTGCATGTGTCTCCAGTGAGCTTTTTAGAATTTCAAATAGTAACCAATCAATAATCTTATTTAGAAAGCTGAGCCATTTGCGACCTCATAAAGGTTACAATTCTACTTGATATTTATCATCGCTGCGCCTTTTCTTTCACATGTTACTGTCAGATTGTGTTTCTCGCCAAGGCCTCTGTCTGGTGGAATAGATGAGAAAAAAGTGTTTATTTTTCTAAAGCCTTGAGTTTAGAATTACAGCCAACTCACCACAATGTTTTTGACTGAGATTGTGGACTGCTAAAATGCCAGCTGTTGCTAGACAGCTGCAACTATAAACTGTACCAATAAAACTTCAGAGCAGATGTCTTCAGCTGGATATTAGTCCAATTAACCACACTGCAAGTGTTATATTTGCACTAAAAATGCTACAAAAGGCACTAACAAAAACATGAATGGATCCAGTTCAATTTCTCAAATTAACTGAGCTGATTTCTAAGGTCTACCAATCAACTAATTCTCAAAGCACTTAATGATGCATTACTTTAAGCAATTTACATACCAACAAGCAATTTAAGCAAGTTAAGAAAAACATTTTTTAAAAAGGTCACGAATAGAGCCCAGGCAACATGCAATATTTGATGAATTAAAAATCAAATATTTTGATATATTGCTGTTTTTCTTCTTTTAGATACAGGAAACCTAAAAAAGATTCCCCTTACATTAATATTTATTTGTTTACGATATTACACACCATTTGTTGTTCGTGGTGTTCTGAACACGTCTTCCCGACAGGAAATTGCAGAGTACCCGTTGGTGGATAAACTCCGCATCTACAATCATAATTCGGTTGTAGAGCATTTTGCTTTTTCACTTTTTCATCTATTAGCATTATAAAAGCCAATACCAGTAGATCAGCCTCCCAGTACATCGACTGGGCTCTAGTGATGAAGAACAGAGTTAACTAGGTGTAGACATCATTGGTCATGAGGATTGTGTGTGTGTGTGTGAGTGTGTGTGTGTGTGTGTGTGTGTGTGTGTGTGTTGTGATCTAAATGTGTCAAGTAAAATATAAAGGTGCTGCTTTTATTCCAGTCTGTTACAGCTAGTGGTCCGTCTATAGGTGACCATTTGCTTTTGGCTAACAACGTAGTCATTAGCAATGATTTTTGTGATGTCAACCTGCGAGCAGCATTATTGCTTGTGAGCTTCTGATTGGCCATCAGATCTAGGAGTCAGGGTTTAATCACCACCTGTTCATTGGCCTTGCCGTGTTCTTGACGCTGATTTTTTTGGATTTTCATATTAACAGCGATAATTTTTTCAAATAAAAATAGAAAATCCTTGTACATGTGGAAACCATCTCAATAATCCAAGCAAACAAAACAAAAACAATTAACATATGATTATCTAATTTACTCAGTTAGTTTGGTTTGCTTTGTTTGAATATGGCAATTTAGTCTTTGGCAGAAACAATTAACAAAAATCATATCAGACTTATCTGATATCCCTTAAAATGACTTACGTTCAAATGAGGTAAGGTTCAAAGCAATTCAAAGCAATAACATTAGAGAGGAAAAGCAACACACTGCAACATGTATCTGCGTTCAAGCTCCATTAAGCTGCTTGCTTGTGTGGGGGCAGATGGAGGGTGAAGGGAGGTGCAGTGTGTTGTTATTGTTGTGTGCAATCTTCTGTTGACATGTGCCATTATGATGAATGCTTTACAGTGTCACAGTGTGAATGCTGATCAAAGGATGCTCTTCACACCATGACTCTGCCCCGCTTCATTAAGCACAGATGCACCAACTTATCTAAAATTGCAGGCTTATTTCTTATCAGCAATGAGAAATCCATAGTCAGGCTCCCTGTTCTGCAACAGGGCTACAGATGTTTTGTTCATAAGGCAAATAAAAAAATAAAAGCCTGATTTTAAAAAGAAGTTGGCCAGTATCTGATATACAAATCCTTCCTTTTTAAATGACCCTCCTCTCTTTTCAGATTGTGTATAAGGGGAATCCGTACGCCGATCACAACTCTACCGCCTATGCCACATATGAGAGGGGAGTAGAAGTTGGCTGCTGGGGATTGTGCATTAATGCAGTGTCCTCTGCTCTCTACTCATGTAAGTGGCAATAATGTGTGAGGGGAAGCTATGTGAGAGAGTAGGAGTGGCAGGTGGAAATGGATAACAAAGGGAAATTACTGCTTTTGCTTTGGGAGTGCAGGGAACTCCCTTAGCATGCTTTTGCCAAGGCATCCTGACCTGCGTTATTCTGAACACGTAAGTCCACATGTATGCTTCAAACATCCCCTGTTAAACAGCACATGTGAACCTGAGAGAACTGTTGTGCTACATACAGGGTAAAGCTCAGCCAAATAATGAAGGCTTGGCATGAACTCAGCTTTTTTTAGTCTTTTGCTGTTGAGAAGGAGTCTTGGCTTCTAGGAAATGAAAAACGGCCTGTCTAATTATATGTACAGACGGTTTTGGTACATGTAATGTACGCTAATCTAATGTTCACATAATTATCTACCCTGACTCCACACGCCTCATGCGGGTTTGTTGATCCACCAGTAATTTTAACTTTCCGTGACGTACATGTCTGTGTGTTTTCAGATGTGCAGCGCTTCCTCCTCTCATACATCGGGCTGAAGGGATTATATTTTATGGGCTACCTTGTGTTTGGATTGGGCACCAGCCTGATTGGCCTTTTTCCCAACATCATAGCAACGCTCGTCCTCTGCAGTGTGTTTGGTGTTATGTCGAGCACACTCTACACCATCCCATTCAACCTGATAGCAGAGTATCAACGTGAAGAGGAGGTAATAAACTGGCAGTAGAAACACTCACTAGCTAAGGAATTGTTCAGGTTTCCTCAGTTTAAAAGGATCACATGGTTCTTAAATGAGCACATTTGTATATTGTACACGATACTGCATAACTATAGTATTGATTTTCCGTTTTTTCCACAGTGTAAAACATGTTTTGTTGTCAGTTTGCAGGTAAATAATAACCCCATACTCCAAAATAATTATCTTTTTCCTAGTATAACCTTTGGTTTTGGGAATGAATCAGATGTAGCCCTAATGTGTCCTTATGTGAAACTGTAACAGGCACAAATTGACTGACAAGCAATCAATCAAGAAAATAATCTGCAGATTACAGTAAAAACATAAAAAGAAATTATTATTTCTGGTGTTTTTTTTTTTTTTTAAAAAAGCATACTGTAAGAATTAAGATGATCGAACATTTCTGAATGATGTGAATGAAAGCTTCGATTTAAAAGGGTACATAACGACTGGAACGTTTAGCGTAGCTACTTCCTTTAATCATGATTTCCGATCAAAATTTGAGACTAAGATAAAGCATTGCAGTAATGTGCAAAATCTTAAGCCACACCTCAATCTTTATATTTTCGTCGAAAAATGTACAAAAAAAAATGTCAATATACATGGGAACACAGTATGTAAGGCAAAAACAGAGTGTGTCTGATTCTAATTAGTTTGAAAGTCAATGTTTGGTACGACCACTTTTGTGCTTCAATAGGGCCTGAGCTCTCTCAGGCGGCTTTCTTGTCATTTCTTTAAGTAGTCTTTAGGAAAGTTCTCCAGGCACCTTGAAGGACATTCAAAGCCCTTATTTGGATGTTGGCTGCCCTTTATTCCATGGTCTGTTGAGATGATCCCACACTGCTTCATTTATGTTGAGGTCTTGGCTTTAGGTGGGTCCTTGGTGGCTGATTTTATTTTGTGTTTTTCTCAAGGGCGTAGATTTGGCATGGATGGAAGGGACATGTCCCCACCAATAATTTGATCTCTTCGAGTAAAGAAAAACTAACCCGATAGAAAGAAAAAAAAAGAGATCTGTCAGCGTCTCATTCACCCCGCGGTGCAGAAAGAGTTAAATTACGTTCTCTACTGGAGTCCTACGTCATGTGACAAATATGGCCAATGTGATTGGCTGTGCCTTTCAGGGAGCTCTGTTTAGTTTTAGCAGCGGCAAACCTGCCCTGCCAGGAGGAGAGGAGGATGGCAGCAAAAAGGAAGAACCTGGATATAAGAAAGTAATTTTCAAAGAAACCTGTAAGTCACGTAAAGCCAAGTTCACTCATAAAATGTGTCCGTCATAATAACGTTACAGGCTATGCTAGGCTTTGGT